GTGTCTTATTGGTTCTAAATTTAAAGGAATTAAGAGTTAACAGTTACAGTCTTATTTTCAAATCAGTTTGGGTGGTTTTTATTACATAATTAACAGATTAGTTGGTTTATTGCAAATCTTCGCCATGTTGCTGCTAATTTTTAAGATTTTGTTACAACTCTACACTTTACTATCGTTGATTTAGGAGGTTGTTGCAAATTTCACGTTATTGTTAGTTTCTAGGATGCTGTTAGTAGAACTTCACCATGTTGCCAAAGGTTTATAAATGCACGACGATAAAATCAAGCAAGTAAGACCTACCTTTCATATAACTAGGCTAGTGTTATCTGTACTTTAATTTTCATGAGCAATGTCTTAGTTTAGATCTAGTTTTTTCAAACAGTTTTCCTAATTTAGTTCTCAACTTTACGTTGTCACTAGCTTTAGCTTTAATTTATGTTATTTTGGTTTGAATATCTACATTGATGTATTTGATTTCTTGCAATTCAAATTACTACACTTTGCCATAAATTCATCTTTTTAGCTTCTTTTAAGTTCTATAATTTAGCTTTTATTTCATTTTTTATACTTCATGCTTTCACATTAGCATTACGCTTCCACTATGCAATTTAGTTTTCTTGCTATATATATACTCTCTTTCTTCTTTCTTTCTTTATTTTTCTCTTTTATTTTGATTAGCAAACTAGTATTTTGACCTTAGTTGTGGGAAATCCTTAATGTTCTTCCAAGCTAATTATTTATAGCCTTTTTTGCAAGAATGCACCCCCGTTTCTGTGACAGTCGTTTGATTAGGACGCATCTCATAATTTTTTAACCGGTGCTTTTTCATTTACTTGCAGTCAAGTTCCACATTTGAAAGTAATGAGAGTCGCTTAGAATTCTTCTTTATCAGTTTGAGTAAAGTGAGTAGCACACATTTGCAATTCTATCTGTCACATGGCCAAAAAGGAGAGTTTGGAGACCACATATTTTCATTTAGAACAGTGTAACAAAAATAATTGTTTTAAGGGAAAGGTGCATATCAGTCACAATTCT